TTTTTTACCTTTTTACTTTTTTTATTTTTTGGTCTTTTTGTCTGAATATTTTACTATTTTATTATAAATTGCTTTACCTGTAATGTTAATTGAGCCCCTTACCCCACCTTAACATTAAATGATATATTTACTAATTGAGCAACTGATTGTATGACAATAGCATGACTTTTACTATTATTTTTGTTTCCGGTAAAAAGATTTCTGAAAAAGCTACCTTAATTTTTTTTAAAAATATTCAAAAAAAAAATTCTAATTCCAAATGTGCTTTTAGATTAGTCACATTGAACTAGCTAAATTTTTTTTAATTAGAAGTACTTTGAAATTTTTTGAAAAATTAGTCAAATAGATTCAAAAGTCATGCGAAACGGGCTGTAAATAACTTTGATGAATAAATTTATCAAAAAATACTTGAACCTTTGTTAAAACTTCACTTGAAAGAGTAATGTTATTTGTAGTTGTTCATTGTGGTAATTGCCCTACGTAGCATACACATGTCAAGTGATAATTTGATGCATTAATGTGGTAGTTTTTATTGACTCATGTATCAAATAACCACATATTATGTGTATATCATATAGGGTGACTACTGTAGTGAGCGACTGTGAATAACATTATTTCACTTGAAATAGATTAAATGCATCTCAATTAATGAGATTCCATGTTCATCCTTTTTTCAATACATTCACAATTTGTGGTTCATGCTGCTACAACAATAATACTCTTTTCACGTTCGAACAACTTGTAAATAATTTGAAATTTTTGTGAGATGCATCCCAAAAACTTCAATCTCACCAGTTTTGAAACACGTCGGTGAGACTCTAGGAATTGCAAAGGCTCCACCCCGCTCCCACCATTGTCCACTTAGGGCGGATTATTTTCAAAATTAATGTATTTAGAAAATGAAGATAAAACATAATGTAATAAATTAGTAAAGAAATAAATATATAATTAGGGTGATAATGAGGATGTGTAAATCCCACCGTTTCCCGTTATCATCTCTAAACGTATCTTTGTTAAACACTTTGCAATCTCGACACACCTTGAAACATAAATATAGTTGTCCATTTAAACAACCTCCAAATTATCGTAAATTTTATAAAGAGTAATGCTATTCACCCCACTGATGTCAAGTACCAATCTAGGTGACAATTACATTACATCTAATGATAGATTCGTTTAAATGTAAAATCATATGACCTATTTAATTAAACCAATAAAACTGTAGCTATTTAAATTGGTGCTCTAATACTAGTGACAATGAAAAACATTATTCTTTTATAAGACACACGTTAGCTTGGAGCAAGAAGTATCTTTAAAAATTCATTGTACAGTCATCTTTGGAATCTAAAAAGAAATACACATATGTTAATACGTTGTTGAAATTATTGGGTCAATTTTTTTGTATCGAGACAATAAATTGGACTATTTAATATTACTTGAATCAAGTTATTAAATTGAATTAAAGGTAAAAAAAAAAAAAAAAAAAAACATATCTATCAACCTCTGAAGACACACTTTCAAATATAACAAACTTGTGGAATTCTCAATATTTTGACAACCAACCCGATTATAAACCTTGAAAAGTTAAAAGATCAAGGGTCGAAGCAAAATTGAACAAGAGTCGAACTACTAATAATAAATAAAATGATTAGCATAAGAATATATCCACAAATTGGCAAATATATATTATTTTTTCAACATATAGAGACAACTTAGTAAACTTGATTTCAATTAATTTTTGGCTTATTAGCACAAAACGTTCCCACTTTTAATTTAGTGTGCACAACGTCCTTGCATTCCAAATTTTTGCATTTCAGCTCTATTTACATGTTTCATTACGGAAAACATCATTTTCATCAATTTTCATCCATTTTTCTCAATAAAAAATTGTAAAATGACAAATATACCATTCTATTTATATAAAACAAAAAAATAAAGAAAAATAAAACAAAGAACAAATTACAATCATACTTCCAAAATTTTCAAAAAAAGTACAAATAAATACCAAAACCAATTAAAATAGTAAATTACGTATAGACCAACATCTTATGAGTCCCTCCTCAAATTCCAGTTTAGTTTCATTTTTTCTGCCGCAAAATTTAACCCAAAATGGCAGCAAAAATGGCTATAGACAAACCCATATCCAAATTTAACTCCAGCATCCCAACAATTGAAAACTCCTGACCGTCAAGCATGGGCGACCCAAGATGGGTCACTTAACCCCCCAACTTTTGAGATTTTCCCTCTTTTTTTTTTTTACCTTTTTTTTAATAAATGAAGTCACATTTGGTATCGATTCAAATTCAAATTTTAATCTAAATCAAAGTTAATAATTAATTTTAATAACATATTTCCTGAATTTCTTAACTTCTAAAATTTTATCGAAATTTACTAAAAATCGAACTTTAATCTCCGTCAAACAAAGATAAAATCACGATAAATTTGAAGTTTCTCTCTTTTTTATTACTCTATAGTATTCTCTCCCTCAAGCCTTTTATCAAAATCTTAACTTTTCTAATTTTTTAAAATTTGTTTATAATTTCTCTACATTTATAACATCTACAATAAATTTTCATTTTTCAATCAAATTTTCAACTAATTAGAACCTAAATTTGTATTTTCTCCTATCATATTTGTGTATATATCATTTGTCTAAACTAATTATATAAAATTTAACTTATATCTAACGAACTATGTTTATTTGACTGATTATTAGTATTGAATATTGGTTTTTTATTTTTTCTTTTAATTATTTGAATTGATTGCTTGTATCAAATATGCATTTTCTTGTGATGAGCAAAACATTAATAAAATTAATGTTCAAAATCAAATAGATGAAAATGATTAGCAAAATATTAATGAAGAAATATTTTTGAAATGTAAATCTAAATTTTTTTTAGGGCAAATATGAATAATTTAAAAATAAAAAACAAAGTATTTGATTTGTACAAAGTTTGATCGTGCCTGTTACGTGTTGTCATACTTGGCCAACCTACTTAGGCCTATGGCCCACTCAATCCGAGCCACGTGGCACTCCAGCCGAGGCATGTATGGCTGAGGCCCATATACCGAGACCTGTGAAAGTAGCCAAACCCTTCATGCCAAGACCCATATACTGAGACCTGTGAAGATTGCTGAAGCCCTGAAGCGAAAGTACTACGTGAGTGGCAGAAGCCTCCGAACCATGAAGGAACGTCCCATGATCATCTCTCCCAAGAGATCTTCAACATAAAGATCTTGTTTAAATGATTGATGGAACGTTTATCATGAGTACATATGTCAACTCTTGTCACTAGCATGGGGGTTTTGCACAAGCAATAAATGCGCAGCAAGCTAGCAAGTCAAGGATGATGCCTAGGATTGGATGTTTGCATTAAGGAGATGAGGCCACGTGTCACCTCATCTAAGGGCTGCCATTTCACATGTAACATTATAAATACTTCCCTTGTATAACATTGAATGACTAATGCAAGAATCAATACAAGAAGCCACACTTTACTCAACTCTCAATCTCTTATTATCTTGCAACACAAACGAGTTCATACATATTTAGATATACATTAACAAATGTCAATTGGTAATTATTGTACAATCGGATTAAGAACACCCCGTCGGAGTCTGAACGTTCTCGTCCCATGTCGTTGAGCTACTCCTACACCCCTGATTCATTCGCTCTAGACCGTCCATGTGTCTTAGCGTGTAGGACGCTAAGAACCTTCGCTCACGTGTGTGCGGGTGGGTCTGGCATCTGTTGGCAACAGTTTTTGAGGTCAATAGATTGGCGCCGTCTGTGGGAAACCATACCATAACCACAAACAACCTTGTGGTGAAAGCTTATTGAAGAGCATTTGAGCATCCCCCTTGAAAAAGGATTTGTTCTTGAAAAAGAACAAGAGGAAGCCCCACAACTTAGCAAAATTTGAAGAGTCAGGCAAAAAGAAAATGAGTTCAAACGAAGACACCCATCAGGAGGGTAAGAGAAAACGCAAATGTACCTCCTCCACACGCTGCCCCAGCAGCTCGGCAAAGACTCTACCACCACCAAAGAAGAGGTGGAATGCGGGCTACGGCACGACTATCAAGAGAAATGGCTGCCATGGCGGCCAACATGAGAGATATTGCTAGCCAAAACTTGGTTATTAGGGAGTTCATAGCCCAAATGCAGGGCCAGGGAGGCTTCCCCATTTCTCCATACGTCCCTCAGGGGCACAACCAGCAAGAAGACGAAATTCAAATTCATAGAACTGCCTCGCCGGATTATAGCCTAGGTAGAAGCCCGTTTGAAAGGGAAGTGGAAGTTGATGCTTCCTCCAACTACGCTTCTGGCCGACCCACCGAGGTCCCATTGAACCATGATAACTTCCTACCTCCATATGAGCAAGAGTCAAGACATAGGAGGGCAGGCAGTGTGTTTGACAGAATCAGCCCCGCTGAACTGAGGCTTAGGTAACAACAGATACACCAGCCTTAGACAAGGCCACCGTCTCCACCTCCGATGCCCCAGCAGCCAGATAAGAGGCATGGAAATGTTCCCCCGTGTTGCTCCGCCTAGAAATAGGCGCCAAAGGAGGGAAGAAGAGGCTAGGAACCATCTCGAAACCTCTCACCAACAACCACGACAAGAGGCCGAGGAATATGATCCAGATGAACAGCAAAGGTCCTGTGACTTGGACGACGATGATTAGAATTTGCCATTCTCGAGGAAACTAAGGAGTGCCCAGGTTCCAAAGCACTATGTAATGCCAAAGATACCAAAGTATGACGGAAGAGACAACCCAGAGAAGCACCTAAATGCTTATAAAACTCACATGAGCCTAAGGGGCGCCACCCCAGCTGTGGAGTGCAGAGCTTTCCATTTGACACTTAGTGGAGCGGCTGAAATTTAGTATAGCAGGTTATCACCTTGGAGCATAAGAAGTTGGCCCGAATTCAAAACAACATTCTTAAAGAGGTTCACGGTAAGCAAAGAAGGAGAGGTCCCCATCCAACGTCTCCAAGACATGAGACAAGCATATGGAGAGTCCCTAAAGAGCTTCCTATCACGCTTCATCGATGAGATGGCGTATTGCGTGCAAGTCACCGATCGTGAGACGCTATCCGCATTAAGGGGAGGTTTGAACATGAATACCCTATTCTGGAGGGACGTGCAAAATCAAGACCCCACCACCTATGACGCCCTACTTGAAATGATGAGGCGGGAAATCATCAATGAAGAATTGATTGAGCATAGGAACAAGGTAAGTAGGGACCTCCCACCTCCTCAAAGGCAGCGCGCTAGAGGGCCGACCTCCCACCTGATGGACTATCAAATCAACCAGGCTGGAAATGAGAGTTCTGGCCAAGCACATGCCACCACCACTTTGAACGCAGTTCCCACCTTGGCATATGAGGATATCAACCCAATTACTAACACTCAGCAGACCGAAACCCTACAAGGATCTCGTAGGGGAAGAGGCCGAGGTCGGGGTTCAGGACCTAGAAATAGGTCAAATCAGAGCCCACCAGGATACTGTGTACACCACCGGTCCTATGGACATGACACGACGGATTGTCGAGACTATGCACACCGCTCCCGGCTGAAACCCCCTAAGGACAGAAATGAATCGCCTCAGGCGAACAGGCCCCCGTCCAGGCACGACAACCGACCTAGGCGTGAGGAGGTTTTTCCCCGTCAAAGGGATGTTTCCCCACGACGAAGGAAGTGTGATACGGAGAGGCTCAGGAAATTGCGCAGGCACCGACGAAATCGACAAGGCCAGGATGAGGCCCCTATCCACAAGGTGGATACCATATTTGGAGGACCATATATTGGCGGTGAAACACGAAACGCCAAAAGGAATTACGCCCGAGAGGCTAAACACCCCCTTTGGCAAGTTACATTGTGGACAACAGCTCCCGGAGGAACCAAGTTCCATCCATTGTCTTCACCTAGAAAGATGCCAATGGAGTTCACTACCCCCACTACGATACACTTGTTGTGAGAGTTGTCATAGCCCGAAATGGGCTCAAGCGAATGTTAGTTGACAACGGTAGCTCTGTCAACATTCTATTCGGATTCGCCTTTGACAAGATGATATTGGATCATCAGTTGACACCCACCACAATTCCACTGTACGAATTCACCAGAGATAGCATCACTCCAAGGGAAAAGATAACATTTGCAGTGGAGATGGAAGAGTCTCCCCAAACTACGATGAACTTCATGGATTCCTCATTGTCGACAGTCGATCGGCCTACCATGGAGTATTAGGTAGGCCAGCCCTAAAAGAATTGGGAGCAGTCATCTCCATCTATCAACTATGCATGAAATTCCCGACGGAAAATGGGGTGACAACGGTGAGAGGTGACCAAAAAGGATCGAGAGAGTGTTATCTAAGCTCCATTAAAAAGGTAGAGCCCCGGGACATCCATGTAATCATAGCTGATATAGTCATGGCTGACGTCCCAGGTGATGCTCTCACCGACTCAGAAGATATCGATATGATCGATGTACCACCCAATTCGGAGGTATTGGTCATTGATGAGATCGATCCCGCATAATTGAACACGAACCTCAAGCATCCCCAATTGAGGAACTTGAGAGCTTCTCGGTAAACCCTCGGGACCCATCCAAGATGCTGAAAGTAGGCAAGGGTTTATTTAACACTTTGAAGGGAAAGATTAAAGAGTCAACCTTAATAAGGGGTAAATGAAAACACCTCCATGAGCTCATTCACTCACAGAATAAAAAGAATAAACCAATTACTACCCAGTCATTAAACTCAAATATGTAAAATATCATTTCCCAATTCGTGCATTAAAAGACATCAAAGAGTTGCAACTAATGCAATTCTTACAATATCTTACTATTTCAAAAGCATTACAAGATCAAAGTACAGACATGTTCAGAAATATAGTATAGCATTCAGATACAGTACGTTCCATATCTACAGGGCAGTTCAAGGATATAGCTTAACCTAATTACTATTGGTGCAAACATTCCGATGAAAATCACAGATTTCCTAAGTAATAACCTTGAACATTGATGTCTTTGCTTGGAGGCATGAGGACATGATGGGCATAGACCCCAAGGTCAGTTGCCACTACTTGAAAGTCGATCCTAAGGTTGCCCCGCACAAACAAAAAAGGAGAGCCCTCAATCCTGAAAGGTACGAGGCTCTGAAGAAAGAGGTTCAGAAGTTCATCCAAAACGGTTTTATCAGGGAGGCAACCTATCCGAGGTGGGTCTCCAACCCGGTTTTAGTAAAGAAACACAACGGCAAGTGGAGGGTATGCACCAATTTCACCAACCTCAACAGGACTTGCCCGAAAAACAGCTTTCCTCTCCCAAGGATTGACCAACTAGTAGACTCCACGGCTGGGCGCGAGTTGTTGAGCTTTATGGACACATACTCCGGCTACAACCAAATACCCATGCACCCGGCCGATGAGGAGCACACCTCTTTCATCACAGATTGAGGCCTTTATTGTTATAGGATGATGCCCTTTGGGTTGAAAAATGTCGGAGCGACTTACCAAAGGCTCGTCAATAAAATGTTTATGGACCTTGTCAGCAAGACAATGGAAGTATACGTGGATGACATGTTGGTAAAAAGTCTGGAGGCTGAGGACCACATAACGCACCTCAACAACACCTTCCAAATCTTGAGAAGATATAGGATGAGGCTCAACCCCCTCAAGTGCGCCTTTGGAGTGGCCTCCGGCAAATTCTTGGGATACATGGTCAATCATCGCGGAATTGAAGCCAACCCGGAGAAGATTGAGGCCCTATTCAAGATGAGGTCCCCCCAAAAGCCAAAGGAAGTGCAAAGTTTGACTGGGTGGGTGGCCGCACTTAGCCGCTTCGTCTCCAAAGCTACAGAGAAATGCCTCCCATTTTTCAAAGTACTGAAAGCTAGGAAGAAGTTCCAACGGAACGAGGAATGTGGAGAGGCCTTCCAAGGCCTAAAAAGGCACCTGGGACAGGCCCCCCTCCTTTCCAAACCGAAGCCCGGTGAGATCTTATAGCTATATCTGGCCGTTTCCAATGAGACCATCAGTTCGGTTCTAACCCGAGAAGAGGGGACCACCCAACTCCCTGTTTACTATACAAGTAAAGCACTCCTATCGCCGAAAACCCATTACCCCGAACTGGAAAAGCTCACTTTGGCCTTGATTACGACCTTCAGGAAACTGAGACCCTACTTCCAAGCTCACACCATCCATGTACTGACAAACTTTTCCCTGAGGAAAGTACTCCAAAAGCCCAATGTCTCAGGAAGATTGTTGAAATGGGCAGTAGAGCTAAGTGAATTTGACCTCGTGTTCAAGGCTAGGACAGCCATCAAGGGTCAGGCCTTGGCTGACTTTGTGGCAGAATTCGCCAACTTACCTGAGGAAGATGAAATCGTGGAACCTGTCGAGACCTCTACGTGGAACTTATTCGTGGATGGGTCGGCTAGAGACGCTGGCTCAGGTCACAAGCTAAACTCGATAGTAAGGTTTGGGTTCAAGGCCACCAACAATGTAGCAGAGTACGAGGCACTACTTGTAGACCTCAGGCTGGCCAAGGAAATGCAAGTAAAGAGGCTCCTCATCAGCAGTGACTCCCAGCTGATTGTTAGCCAAGTAAATGGTAACTTCTCAGCCAAGGATAAAATGATGGCCTCCTACTTGAAAATGGTGATGAACCTCATCCCATCCTTTGAAAAATTTGAACTAACCCAAATCCCTCGCATTGAAAATTCTCATGTGGCTGCACTCTCCAAGCTCGCTAGTAGCAAAGATTAAGAACTACTCACAGTAGTACCTATAGAGCACCTCTTCCTACCATCGACCGAGACCCCCAATGTAATGTGGGTCACTGGGACCCCTACCTGGATGCAGCCAATCGTAGCATACCTCAAAGACCAGGTACTTCCTGCTAACAAGCATGATGCCTACAAGCTAAGGAGAAGGTCAGCCCACTTCCTCTTCGTTGATGATGTTCTCTATAAGAGGAGTTTCTCCTCCACACTTTTACGATGCGTTGGAGGAGAAGATGCTACTTACATATTAAGAGAAGTCCATGAGGGCGTGTGCGGCAATCACTTCTGAGGTCTATCTTTGGCACAAAAGTTATTGAGGCAGGGATACTACTGGCCTACCCTGAAAAGGGACGCACTCGAGTTTGTACGAAAGTGTGACAAATGCCAACGATTCTCTTCAATACAAAGACAACCGTCACATGACTTGATCGCGGTCTCCAGCCCTTGGCCTTTCTCAAAATAGGGTGTGGACCTCATAGGTCCTCTACGTAAAGGTAGAGGAGGTGCAAGCTTTGCAATTGTGGCCATTGATTACTTTACAAAATGGGTTGAGGCTGAACCATAGGCAAAAATCATAGAAGCCAACACTTCCAAGTTCTTATGGAAGAATATTATATGTCGGTTCAGGATTCCCTACGCAATTGTCTCAGACAGTGGTAGACAATTAGACAACAAGAAGGTCAGGGTACTATGCGAAAAACTCGGCATCAAGAAACATTTCTCCACCCCTCACCACCCACAAGCAAATGGCCAAGTTGAGACTGTCAACAAAACAATCAAACACGTCCTGAAAATGAAGCTTGATGTGTCAAAAGGGGCCTGGGTGGATGAGTTGCCACAAGTACTTTGGGCAATCCGAACCACCACGAGGACTCCAACTGGGAAGACACCTTTCCTCATGGCATATGGTATCGAGGCGATGAGCCTCGTTGAGGTCAGGCTTCCATCTCTAAGACGTCTGCAATTTAGTGAAATGACAAATAATGAGCTTCGAAGGTGCGACCTCGACTTCATTGAAGAAAGAAGAGATGACTCCCAGTTGAAGCTTGGCACATACCAAAGGAAGATGACGAAGTACTTCAACTCAAAAGTAAAGAAAAGATCATTCCGAATCAACGACTTGGTCCTTAGAAGAGTTTTCCTTTCCTCAAAGGAACCTAGTTCTAGTTCCGGTTCCTTGGGTCCGAACTGGGAAGGCCCATATAAAATTAGAGAAGTGATCTAGCCTGGGACTTACTGGATTGAAGACATGAACGGTAAGGCCCAACCTCGTCCATGGAACATCGAGCACCTCAGAATCTATTACCAATGAATGTACTACCTCGCTGGACGATCTTTCCCAGCTCTTGTAACATTTCTATGGTTCAATAAAATTCTGTGATTAAATTAACGTATCGCATTACTTCCTGACCTCGGAGGAGAGGCAAGCGTTCATTTCTGGGCCACCTCGCTTGAACTCCGAGGCGTATGCACATGCCTCCCTTTTTGATGAGGCTGAACGTCAAGGGGAGAAGTCTCAACATGGCTGTACCATCCACCATGTTGGGAAGCGTCGTCACCTTTGAAGAGAGGCAAGCGTCCATTTCTGGGTTACCTCACTTGAACTTTGAGGTGCATGCACATGCCTCCCTTTTGACGAGGCTGAACGTCAAGGGGAGAAGCCTCAACAAGGCTACACCATCTACCATATTGGGAAGTGTCGTCACCTCGGAGGAGAGACAAGCATCCATTTCTGGGCCACCTCGCTTGAACTCCGAGGCGCGTGCACATGCCTCCTTTTTGATAAGGTTGAATGTCAAGGAGAGAAGTCTCAACATGGCTGCACCATCCACCATGTTGGGAAGTGTCGTCACCTCGAAGGAGGGGCAAGCGTCCATTTCTGGGCCACCTCGCTTGAATTTCGAGGCTCATACACTTGAATCAAAATAAAATTCCCAGTTCGGCTGCAACGATTTATTCTTAAGTTCTCTTCAAGTTACAGTTATTAAGCTTACGTACAATTCATTTGTTTAAGTCCAATATTGGTCATAACTCATGAGGCTTTCATACAATTTATTTGTTCAAGTGATTGGAGTTAGGATACCCAATTAAAGTTATTTAGTTTTTCAGTCAATATTACGTTCAATTACTTAGTAAGGCCAACACACTTCAGAGAAAGAAACAACATTAAACGAAAAAGAAATTATATTGATTTTCAATTGAGATTACAAAAGGAGGGCCTGAGGCCAGTACATCATGAATAACTGAAAAGAAAACTATCCTAAGTCTGAGAAGGTGATGGAGGTGCTTCAGCAGCTGGGACTTTCGCAGCTTGAGCGTCAGAGTTTGCTTCTTCTGCCTCTGCTACTTCATCTCCTGTCGCTTCAACAGCTGGGGTTTGAGGCACCTCGTCCTCAAACTCCGACCTAAATTGTGACAGGTCCTGATTTGGGTACAACTCCTCAGCCCCCTCCATCACCTCGGCATAAGCAAAGTTCCTCCAGTAAGTGCTGAAGCTCTGGTACTCTGCAGTATTGTGGAAATTGGCGATGTAGTCTTTCACTGCCTCATCCCTTGCATTTTGGGCTTCCACTCTAGCATGGGTCGCCTCATCGAAGTACCACCTAATTTGGCCTCGATGAACTTGTATGCATCTTGGGCCCTTGCCAGCTTTTTGTTAGCCTTCTCCAGGGTTTCGGCTGTCGCCCTCTGGTGATTATTGGAAACCTACACCTTCTTTGTCAAGGACGCCACCTCACACTAGGATTCATGTAC